TTTTTATTCAAAAGAAATTAAATAAGCAATTTTATCTCAGCACGAGATAGATCAAAATATTTACGCTGTATATTAATAAAATTGTGACCCTGAATAAAAAACAATTTTTAATGTAGGGTGAAACCGTTATTAAACTTGGAACTGAACATCTTAGTTATATTATTCCTTGCGTGGACAATTTTCACATTATTGGATGCTTCGCTTTAACTAAGCAATGGAAGCTACTGCTATATATGATGATGATGACAGAGTTTATCATTAATGCACCGACATTGTTAGCTCAAAATATTGGGATCACAAATGTAAATGTTTCAAAATGTCAAGTTTTTAAAATGAATAGGTTATTTATAATTAATTTTATTCCTATTTAAATAATTCTTCGATTAGTCGGTTATTCATGCAAAATGGGTTGTTGTGGCTAAGAATGATGATTCTTATTAGAAGTCTTGTCAAAATTCGCGAGAAAACGTAAATTCATGTTTCTAAGCATTTATTTTGGTGTTTCTACATTTCCGATTGATCTTATTATTTATTTATAGTATGAAACCTTCAGAAGGCGTCATAATTGAAGAAATGGAGTAATGATGGTATGTGTATTTCTAACATGCGAATTTAGGGCAAATTGTGATTCAAAAATATAAGTTATCTTACGTTGCGTTATAACTTGCAGGAGTTTCTTCAACTAAAACATCAACATTACGCGATACATAATCTTTTAACATATATTTATGACGTCGATGGCAAAAATCATCGTGGTACGTAATTTATGGTTATCATATCTATATATATTATTTTAAACGATTTTTTGAAAGTCGCGGATTACCTTTTTTCTGCATCTGTATATTGGGAACATTGTAGTGGATAAGCATCAATAGGTTTAGAAGCTTATTGGATTTTTTTTTCCCACGAAGGGTGTTTACAAAACAATTATATGGAAACGTTTCAGTAAAATAAAGTCATGAGATATAGTAAATCATATGATCCATAATGTGATTTTACTGGCAACGCACCCTTACTCAAATTTATGCAAACCTTGCGACTGCTGTGACTGTCAACCATTAATTCGAGAGATCATTAAAGAAGATGCTCCCTATAGCATGCATCTTATTGACGCTTTAGGAGTAGATTCACGTATGCCTTATGCATCGATTACGAACGATTTTAGCACAGTAAAAATCAAAGGTAACATCTAGTATGAATATTTGTATTTTATTATGATCTTTTCAAGATCTTTAATTATATTTTTTTAACTACTTAGGCAAAAGATATCTCGGTCAGAATGAAGGCCAAATTTTGATCATCAATTATTTAATATATAAGTTGTTACTGTTAGTTAATGATTTATTAATAATTATGAAGTAAGTTTGTTTTATATAGTTAAATATGATAAATTTTTAACTAGTTTAGAATGTTTATATGACTTGCATATTCTTTATGACTCCTCTCATTGTACCAAAAATAGAAAATATTTGATGAAAATCCGTTTACCGAACCTAAATTCAACATCATCTCGAATAATATAAAGTTCGAAAAAATGTGAGAGGGACATGATGAAAAAATATTCCTGTACCACTTTTCATGAAATAAATTGCCGTTGCAAGAACAGAAGTCAGCAATAACTAGTATATATGTGTTGATTTAAAAGCTCCTAGGACGTTCTTTTATTATAACATCCATTCGTGTATTTTCATCTTCCCATTCATTCAAAAGGAAACATGTTTAACTTTGCGCTTGCGTAAATCAATTCTTTGTTCATCTTTAGACTCAAGCTCTTATGAAATACCGGAAGGATCAGTAAACTTTATTATTATCCATGTCTCGTTATACCATTAGGAGATCATTTGTGAAATATTGATAATTAGTTTATAAATATCCTAATCATTTGAACAGGATAGATCATTCGTAAAGGAAATGAATAAATTGCTTATATTGGAAGTGATTTTTATTATCAAGAATTTACATTATAAATAAGTATATCTAGTCTAATTCTTCTTAATGTTCAAAACTCTATTTTTTAATAATATTCAATGTTTAATATTTCTCTTTTATCCAATAAAAGCTATTTAAATTGTTATATTCTTAATAATTATAAACAAAGTAATTAGTGTGGGGTACGATTAATCAGCTTATAAAAAAGATTTTAATTTTTTCACAAACATATAAAATATTTTTTATCACGTAAAAATTTTAGTGAACCTCCAACTTTCAACAATCGTCTAAATAACAAATTAATCAATTTCGAATAAGATATATATTGATATTATAATCATAAATTACGTCCATGATGATTTTACCATTAATGTCAGAAAAGATGATGTGTCGCGTAATGTTAATGTTTTAGTTAAAGAAGCTCCTGTAAGTTATAACGCGACGTAAGACAACTTATATTTTTGAATCACAATTTGCCTAAATTCGCATGGAAATACATTTAGTAATAAATTGATCATTAAAAAAATGAAAATTACATTCATACCATTATTACTCACATTTCTTCAATTATGACGCCTTCTGAAGGTTTCATACTACGAATAAATAATAAGATCAATCGGGAATGTAGAAATACTAGAATAAATGCTTAGAAATATGAATTTACGTTTTCTCGTGATTTTTGACAAGACTTCTGACAAGAATCGTATTCTTTCATCATTCTTAGCCACCACAACCCATTTTGTATGAATAATAGACTAGTCCCAAAGAAATGTTTAAATAGAAGTCAAATTAAATATAAATAACCCATTTATTTTTTAAAAAATTAA